GTATAAAGCCACTATTTTGAAAACAAAATAGTGTAGCTTACCTCTCAAAACATTAATTTTAAATTTCTCGAATGTTTTTGCCCTTAATAATGATGTCGTGAACCGACTGCAGGATGTTCATGTTTGTAGAACTAACTTTTAACAAATCTCAGACCGTAACCGTTTTTGTCTATGCGTTTCATTTAGGTGAGAGAGTTTAGTTTTACGCCGCTTTTAGCAATATCCCAGCAAGAAATGGGCTTCAAACATTGTACCCATGTGGGGAATCGAACCCCGGTCTTCGGCGTGACGAGCGACGTCAGCAACGAAGTATGATGGAGAGGAACATTATGTTATGGATAGACAATTTCTTAATTTCAATAGATGCGTCTTTTCGGTGTAAATGCTAACACCCAACATTGAAACATTACCATGGCGACACTACGTTCCCTCATTTTAATGTGTCCTATGGATGGACTCTACACGGAGAATTACATCACATTAGGCTGTAGTGACTTAAATGCACATACATTTGACCGTTTTCTTCAAAATACGTCAACTTCCTCTTGTGGCCACCATTATGAAGATGCCATTCATTTTCTATTTATCTACCAAATTTTACTAAAATTCGATCGAAGTGTTTCTATTACATAAATGGTTATAATATTCAATCTGTATTATGTGGAAGTTACTCATATTCTGACGAAATCAATGAAAATATTGTAAAATCTGTACATGACTATTTTACCTTAACAAAACGATTTTTACCTAATTGATTAATTATACTACTGTCTTTTTCATTAAGTCTTTTACTCTTCAAATGGTGTGTTCTCTTGTCTGTAACGATGAATGTAGGTAAAATGTTTCCCATCGCATTGTATTCGGAGAGGTATTTATATAGGCTTATAGCCTGTTTACCAATCTGTTCATTAAGTAATGAATAAATATTGATTAAAACACATTAGGCGACTGGGCAATCCCCACATCGTAAATCAGGCCTCAGAGATATCAATGTCACAAGTATTCGTAAGAGGAACGTTGTAAATTTATTCAATACTCACAAATGTGTAATACGTACCCTCATATGACGTCAAATCCTCCATTTTCATGTTGTATTATATGTTGCATGGGAGCGGTGTTAATATAAACAGTAATGCTTGTTCACAAATCCCAATTCATCTTCATGAATAAAAATATGTTTAAATCATATGAAGCGGTTATATTGCACAACTGTCTACCCTGTATTCGAAACCGTTTTTAAACTTGTTTAAAAGTAGACATACAAGCGTGATATTTTTAGAGATTAACTTTCCCAAACGCGTCGAGGCGTCAACGACCTTGACACAGGGCGCAAGGGTAGCAGAGTAAGCTGTGATAAACACCAACAAAACGTTTGTTTGTAAACAATGGGACAAAATAATTTCTAAACACATCCTTTGTCTTAAGCACAGACCCTCTTTGTTTTTTATCAAACCCTTAAACAACGCTAGACAATGGCGCTTGGGACCACAAAGTGCTTCCATAATGTTGTCGTAAGCGGAGACGCCGTTGTGTAATTGTTGATGCAAGGGATTAAGTTATCCTCATTATCACACTTTACCAATACACATTTTACCATTACACACCGCGCTTTATCCCGTACACAAACATAAGATAGGTAGACAGAGATTCGAATCTGTAGTCCCTAGGGATCTGGAGACGTACAGAATTGTGTCGCCATCTTTGAATTAAGGAGTCTAGTTTATTGTATATGTGGGAAATATATGTCAGGGATCTGAAAGCGACGTACCATGCCGTCATCTTTGAAGTAGTCTGGTAAATTGTAATTAGTGAGAAACATATTTCAGTGATCCAGAAACGCCGTACAGAATGATGCCTCCATCTTTGATAACATGGGGTCTAGTACATTGTAAATTGTATGGAATGTATCATTTAACTGTTGACCAAGGTACCAATACACGTGATGTTAATTGCAAACTCAGAATGAACAAGCTAATGTTACTTCACGTCGCTGTCACAGATATTTCGTCTATATGACGTCACGCCCAGTAAATGATGACGTCACGGACATCAATGCGCATGTGTGTCCTTATTGAAGCAATGATAGATACTGTCCCACAACACTTATAGTGTTTACGAATTTCAATTCCTGACATGTTTACATTTCTTGGAGGCATTTCTTGGTGTTTTAGCAATATTCCAGCAATACCACGGCAGTGGAAACCAGAAATGGGCTTCACACATTATACCCATGTTGGGAATCAAACCCGGGTCTTCTGCATGACGAGCAAACGCTTTAACCACTAGGCTACGCCATCGCCCCTATGACATGGGTAAAGGAGAGATAAAACTATCCTCAACTACATGTCCGTTTTTCAGTTTTACACAGATAGTTTAATCACGAATTACAATGTTGTATGAATACATAATGTCTTTCAAAAAGTGGGCAAATGGAACATCTGATGTGTTTTTGATTACACTTTTTCGGCTAAGTTCAGATTCCCGTATTTCCGAACCTTCATTCTCAGAGTGGGGCACATAGTCGCCAGAACAGAACCCATCTGACCACCCCTAATAACTTCTAGCCAACCTTCTGTGGCGTCCTCCCGAAAAGATCTAGACTTAACTTTACCGAGAAAATGCGTGTGTTGCTGGAATTCCTGTTCAGAGTATTGTATAATCCGGAAGGTGGTTTATCGGTTAATGACATGATCATTCATCCTTTACGGATTATCTATTGAGATCCAAGATTCCCAACATAGAATATAACCAACATGCCCCCAGGTAAACGCACTCGTGTCAACCAGAATGACGATCATCAATATCACTTCATACTCGTTACACTTTATACACAGATAGCATGATATGTAATAATTGTATGTATAACTTGAAGGGGGGAATGGGGTGCTTGGTAATAAACAACGCGCATAAACAGGCGACACTTGTCAAATTTAACATCTGTGACATATCTTTATTTACCTTCCAAATAAACAAATAAAAGCTTGTCGCTTTATTGCTGAAATAATGCCTTACATGTTAGTTCACTTACTCACTCCAAATAATAATGTTCTTGGTGATATATTGTGAATTAAAACGCCACCACATTTACAGTATTTGTATACTGGATACACTTCGGAATACTGGAGCAGTTCAGAAGGGTAAAGATTAAATCCATTTGTGTAAAGGAAACTGTAAGTAATGCCACTTCACAACATCGAAGGTCGTGCCTGGTTGGAAATTCCAATATGGCCGATTGACTCGCAGTGAACATACATTAATCACGAAGTATATCTTTAAATCCCCATCGAATCCAATTTGTCAACAGTTTATTTCAAGGTTCAAGGGTCTAGCTTAAAGCCTTGGCTTCCAACGCGTAACGAGTGACACAAAGTTGAGATAAAGATGGCGGTCAACTGCGGACATGTTGGAACAATTACTTGAGTCGGTGTCCGAGGCCATGTCCTTTGTGGTGACCAGAAACGCCTGATTTATGTGGTGTTTTGACAGCTCTAACTTTCTGGCAGCATATTTCACCCTACGAGGCCACTCAGAAATTTAAAATGTATTTCTGACAGTTTTCACTCAACACCCTAGTTTAGTCCACCATCAGCATCTATCGAACGGTGGGGATTAAGGGTAAATCACAATATGCCATGTGTCCCGGGGCTATGTAAATAGCAACAACAGTAACAATATTTATGATACGGTTATTACGGGTACAACAGTATTGTATTATGAAAAACAATTGTACATATAAATCACACTAAGTCCTGAATGGATTAAGTGTTTCCTATACTGTTGTATGATAGCGTCGTACTTGCGAAACAACAAAGCTCATCAGAATGAAACCAGACTCTGTCACAGTCCACCACATTAGTTTCCCTACTGCCTTGACTAACGCTTAGTCTCTGAATATTAAAACATAAATAATTTTGATGGTAACAAATAAACCCATTTAATTTGAAAACAATAACCCCAGAAAGTTGGGAGATTCAAGGAAAATTTAGACTTGCTTCATTTAGGTTTAGCATTCCAGGGAGGGCAAGGCGGTAATTAAATTAAAAGTAGGACTTTTTTGCCTGAGGACTTTTTTTCCATGGCAAATTTAGTACTTTTTCACCGGTACTTTTTCCAAGCACTTTTTTTCCGAACACCGGGAAAATAATGCGGTTCAGGGTCCGTAAGACAGATTTCCTACTGCCTTGCTCCCCCTGCAATGCTAAAGCCCTAAATGAAGCAAGTCTAGATTACCTCAGATTCTGAATCTCCCATCTCAGTGGGTCTCCTTTTCAATGTATATTGGTTTATTTGTAACGCACCTACCCAAACCTCCTGTTCGTGCAGATAAATGACCACAGAAGCATTTATTCATGTGTAATTCTGCATTTTCTTATAACGATCCAGCTTTAATATTGAGTTCTTGAAAGGCATTTAGAAGTTGGACGAACATGAATACATGACACGTTTTATGGATAACGTAGAATAAAATGAAATTGTTATCCATAACACGTGTCATATATTTACTTTATAATTATGTGTTAAATGCCGTATATGAAACATGCGTTGAATAGTGTTGTAAAAATATGTTACAGTTTTGTTAAATATGCTTAAAAACTACAATATTTTGACGTTTTAATGATATAAACAAAACTCAAGTTCGCGGTCTGTGTTTTCCGCAGACCGAGCACTTGTCATTCGGTGTTTGTATTACATCACTTGCTCCAGTGAACAGGTGCCAAAAACCCGACGGTGTACGATCGCTGTCCCCTGCCGACCTTATCTAGGTCATATCTTTACTCATACGCTTATTTTTCCCACATATCGAAATCAGAGGATTCTTTTAAATTATGTAACTTTATAAATAAAGTATAAAGAGTAGACATTAATTACTTCCTGGAGGAAGAAAACCTATTATAACGCGAGGGGCAATCTTTCAAAGGGAGACAAACGCCTCGGGCGGAATTACTCATGGATGACACTTGTACCTTTCCAGGTGACATTGATTGGCTAGAGCGGGTCACGTGACACAAGCGACGGCGTGGGCCATATCAGAGTGTGGCTGTCAGCCAGACCACATAAAGTTTCGCCAGCCCTGAGAGTTGGAAATTATTTCGGGTAGTGCATCCAACCTGACCCAGTGGATACTGGAGAGAGAGAATACCTGTAGCTGCCTTGGATGATCGCATCTTGGGCCAACACTTGTTGATCGGGGATATAACACGAGTTTTTCACAATGTCGTGAGTATTCTTTGTTTACATATTCTATTTCACCATACGTTATTTCAGTTTCATGGGATATTAATTTTTAGAAAACCTTTACTCCAGTTTGACTAAACGTTTAAATTTACTTCAAACAATCAATATTAACGAATTTAAATGTCCCAAAATTTCCCTCCCGAATCACGTCGATTCATTGTTGCGTGACGTAATATAATTGCTATATGATCCCGAGGTGTGTAAGGGGATTGTGAGGCTTCATACGTGTACACTTACTAATTGTCACCCTTTCACCGCGGGACATGAGGCGGTGTTGGTACCGCGGTGTTTACTACACAATATATTCAGTATACTTTAAAAGCCATGGCAACCATTGTTTAAGATCTATAACAACAGAACACTCTCACTACACGCAGCGCAGTGGGTAGTTGTATACAAATCGTTACCGTCAGTCGCGAGAGTCCTCGCTGTATAAGCAGTACGTTACGTCACTATTCTACAAAGTTGCCTTCATTTCATTCTGTACCCGTGCAGTTTTATATATTATACACTTAGTTATTTATATGTTTTGTGAGTTGTTCTGGCACTAATAAATTATTTCGTCTTTTCGAGACACCACAGAAAATACGTGGCTATATGGCTGTCCTAGGTTACTTTCATATGTCTCTTATAGCGTTTCATATATCTCATAACGACTCGACTGTATAGGTCTGTAGGTATAAAGGTTGAAACATCACTTGTAGATACCTGTGTTATTCAATACAAAAGGAATGCATGTTGAAACAGTCCGCGCCGACTGCACATAAAACTTATATATCTATATTCTATAAGCTTATGAGATAAGGAACTAGGACACGACCCTGTACTAACCCCATACCGAATTAATCTTTCTGGACTTTGTCATAGGTTATCGTTTCACTGACGGGAGTAATTAGGGTTATAGAGATTTACTTGTTATTTTATGTCAAGTGTCAACAAATTGTATTTCTCTAATTAGTAGAAACTCATTAGAGGCCTTTGTCATCGTCGCTTACTTTAGAGGACACACTGGTTTAAAACCAATGATTCCTACAAATGCCTTGCTCTGTTAAGATATTTTAAATTTTAATGTGAACATTTCACTTAATTGTTCTTTTTCATTCTGCCAGGATATTCTTGAAAGAAAGCATGCTTGTTAATTCAGAGTTTATACACCGGCTTATGTTGTCTCCAGTTTCACTTGTCGGCCATGGTTCTAAATACATACCTCTTCACCTTTGCCTCACCCGGAGCAAGATGGCGCTTGTTTGTTTGTCGTCTGTAGACGGCGGTCCAGTGTTTGTTGACACTTTTGCCAAATCCGTACTGTCAAAACATCCTCTGGGGACATTACAAACTTGAAATTTTAGTGAGAATTTGTAAAAAGCTATTCTGGAAAGAAACTGGCTTGGCGCTTCGGTTCATGTTTATCACACCCGAATATGACATGCTTTAAGGATGCACACATGCTTTTAAGTAAAGCTTGGGGGTACGATGGCTTCTTTGCATCACTGGATCAGATGTGGACGATACTTGATGAGTGTGTTTGTCAAGCCCGGGTCACCAGTGCCCGGAACATCCCCCTACAGCGGCCCTTTTGTCCCGTCACTCGTGATTCCAGGTGTAACTACCAGTCCCAAAGACAATGTCCCCACGACCGAATTTTACGAATGGGTGCACATCTTGGATAACTGTCTTGAGTGAGCTAAAAGGTTATGGCGTGTGCAACTAACACTGTCTAATGTTTCTCCGTTGACATTGTCTTCAACCCCTAGTATTTCAATTGTTTAGCGGCAGTTTCACAGTACCCTAACCCAATACATATTATTAACGAACCAGACAGTCCATTCGCTATTGCTACTTCTTTGTAACCCACCCAGCCGAATTTCCGGTTGAAATTTACACTGATGCCCGAACACAACTGGCTACAGTCCAGTGATCGTGAAGTTCAATGCACTTGCTTCTGTGAAAGAACTGCAAGTTTTCGTTGCTGTTCCTTAGCAACTTAAAATGCCCCTGTGAAACACGAGACACGAGTTCAGCTAAAGGGCATTCATTGTTACCGGTCTCTTTTGATATGCACCTGACGGATCAGATCCAGGTTGGCCATCAACTCGTTCCAATGAGCAACACGCCGTGGGTAAAATGGTATATTAAACCACAAGCAGCTCTTTGTATCAATAATACAAATTAATAATATATACAGTGAGTGAGTATAGTTTTACGCCTTAAGCAAAATTCCAGCAATATCACGGCGGGTTGTATATATAGAAATATAACTATTGGTTTAGTGTGGTTTCAATAACGCACAGAGACGTTAACGTCAATTATATCATGACGTCGTCTATGTCGCAACGTCTACATCCTTCCTGCAAACAAACAATTTTTTTAAATGTTTTCAGTGCAGGAAAACCAAATTCTATTGATAGTCAACTTCTTTATTGCAATGAGCGCGACGTTTCGGTGTAGGTAGGTACTAACACCGTTATCAAGCAAATGTTAGTACCTACACCGAAACGTCGCATTCATTGCAATAAAGAAGTTGACTATCCATAGAACTTGGTTTTCCTTCACCTATACAACTTCTACAATGCCTCTCAAAGAAATGTTTCAGTGACTTACCGACAAAGAATCGGGCTTAGCGTCATGTAACCTCATGTAAGCCAATAACTCGAAGGATTGTGCATATCAACAGTGTCTACCAATTAACGCGGCAGATCAAACGTCGTTTATCGGGGTGTCAATTGCCTAATGAAATTGCTTTTCGGAAGGAATAAACTGCTAAGTGTAATGCTCTTATGGCGTTAGATTTTAGGCCAGTCTTTTACGGGTGACGGGTGCTTGGGACAGGGTATGCTTACCCTTTGCGCGAACACCTACTCTCATCGCTGATTTTCAGAGACCCATTCATATAATGTTCAGTTATTTTCCCCTTGAAACCAATTGGAATTTGTTGTTGAGGACTGTCATGGCTGTAGATATGTATAGTTCCAGGAAGCCAGCTTCCTATGCGTTGAAGCTACCTTCCCAACGGAAACGTAATGGTACATGAGATGTTCAGAAATACACAGGCCTAGAAAGTCATGCCATCGGTCACGTGACCACGTCCTTTGTTAGACCTTCGGTAACCTCATCTCCATCCTGAAGCCTCGATAATATCTTGGTATGTGACCTGTTTGAAGGTGTAATACTTAGACGGATGTCATCATGAAAACTCCCGACATGAAACCACGCGGTTCACTGAGACCTAAACGTAAATGTAAATCCTGTACACGGGTTGTTTTTTTTACACTGGTTGGTAGGGTAAGTTATTTCTTGCCAAGGGTATCTCGGCCAACTGAGGGTGATATGCCAAACACCAAGGAAGACAAGGACAAATGTACTCTCCTTGCAGTACACACATTTCCATGAATAGATAGATAACCAAACACATTTCCCATTATGCGGGGATGTAGATAATGATATTATTTTTTGTTTGAATAATTGATCATGTAATTGAGAACAAAATCTCTAAATCTGTTCCGATCGATACGAAATGACAGTGTCTATTATAAGCATAAATACTGTGAAGTCAGTACAAAATACTCCTAGAGCTGTAATGTGGTTTTACATTAAAGCAACATTTATATCCAAACACTGAGTGGCAACGCCAGACGCCAAGGAACCTGGGTTAAAGAAAGACTGAGGCATCCTTCGCTCAAAACATCCTTTCAAAACATGTCCGACATAACCCCGCTTGCTGCTGACGTTAAGATTTACATCCGCAAAGGATCAACGTAAACATACGGAAGAAAACTTAAAAACGTAAAAAAAATCAAATCCAAATGCTACGATTAGAAACAACCTGAAAAACGCCCTCTGAAGTATTCGGCCTTGTATGTTTATTTGCACACTGAGACACTTTATTGACGAGGGAGAGATCATGCCCTATCGTGAATACCCAAGAGGGAGTTCCAAATATTTTAGGGGTTCATCATAAGACGCGGAACCATTCGCCTAAACGGGCATTTGCAATAATCCGTAACTCTGACACAATTATGCATCATTTTCTATTGTCGCTTAATTAGAAACATATCAAAATAAACAAGCAACCCCTTTATTCCACTTTCGTCAGGTTCAGCCGAAACACATACCACATGTTGAATTCCTATCAGCGGGAAACCTTTCTTTTGAAATAGCTACGCACTTTGGGAGCCATTATTCCCTCGTAACCCCCATTCATATATCCAATTGGATGTATTGCATAATCACCCATTGGCCCTTTATCACGCCAAGGGGTCACACATCAAATGTATACAACGGGAGACAGATGACACGTCGTACCAACCACCCCCAGGCATTTCGCCCCGGGGTAGTGACTGTCACGGCCAGGTGCGTTGATGCCTCTCCCAAGAAAGACGATGCCGTTCCTCAAGGGTTTAACCTCGAGGCCACTCCCAGTTCTCGGGCTGTGACACGGTGTCTTTGTTATAACGTCATTTGTCATGGGAAGGTATAATAAAACGGCTCACAATAAATTTACTTACAAACTATCATATTTCTTTATTTGGACGGCCTCTTCGAATGAGATCAATCATAAGCTGCAATATACCTAGGAAATTAAGGAATAAAATAAAGCATTAATTCCAAGGGAGATTCAAGTTAGAGCCAACAGGCTGTAAATACACCTGAACCAGACAAATCAGTATTAATACTGATCATTATTTTTGGTACTAACCCTGTTCCATCACCCCAACGGCGTATTACCCATTTCGGTCCTTGCCAAGAAATATTGTTTGCCCACACCTGTTGGAAAATAACTAGGACCCTGTTTGCTGAGCACGTATGAATAAGAGGCTCTTAAGTCTAAACCGCACCAAAGGCTCGAGGTGTTTACAAAATCGCATGCGTAACCCGTTGCGTAAGATACGTCAGATGGCTACGTGAACGTAAACACTGCCAACCAGTCCCCTCTCGCCCTGTGCACATACCGGTAAGATATCTTAGTCCCAATCGCGGTTCAAGCATTCTTCACGGCCAGAGAATGCCATATCATCCGTCCATAATGCGTGACATGCTAACATCAGGTTGTTTGGCTTAAGCTTAGTTTCAAAAAGGTTGCGAGGACCTTGCTAAACTCGTTTTCAAAATGGCCGCGCGGACCTTGTTAAACTCGATTTCAAAATGGACAGTGTACTCAAAAAGGAACTACACTGCATGTTTTGCATGTGCGTGTTTGGCTGCTTGTAATAGTCCGCATTGATGCTGGTCTAATAGTGCTCTCTAGCCCACTGATATACCACGTCCCAAAATAAACACAGCACACTGACTTCGAGCCGAAAAGTCCTCGTTTTATCACCTTTATGCAGAGCGCCAGAGAGGGCAGTAAGCAGTTGGTTCGAGTTCGAGTCTCCCTTTATAACTTTCTGCATTATTGCCCATGGTCCCTGAAAGAAAAACATGTCATTCAGTGTCTGTATCAATTTAAATGATTCTGATTCCGTGTTTCTTTAAGAGTTCGAACAAAATACTGAAAATGCTCGAAACCATATATACCCCGGTAACATGGTTTGTAGCATTTGTAACCATTTGTTCCCAGACATTTAGCAAATGTATGTGATGCACTACTCCTTACACACGAGTCGCTAACAGCGAAAGTAAAATCTGTAAATGCAAAGCGTTCTAAACTCAACGTCAAGTTAAAACATCCATATCCACGGCTATTTGAGCCATGTTTCTGTGTCTATAGAATCAACGTTTAGGTCGAATTCCACGTTTAACGCCTTGTAGAAATATTTATTCTCTATTGAACAGTTTGGTTTTTACCAAAGGCTTGCAAGACAATTAAAAAATTAGTCACGGAGTTTCCTTAGATCTTCAGGGACAATCATTACCTCGGCACATTAAACCACGAAAACGCTTTAACCTATACCTTGAGTTATGTAAAGCTAATTTTATCGTTGAGCGAACAGGCCAACGGTGGGATTAACGTAATCCAGTTATACTGTACGATTTAGGACTTTGGCCTAAGGTTTTCATGAAGCCATAGTGACGTGAGAGCGCTTTAAGTACATTATGTCTAAGCGTTTAGTCACAAATTTCAAGGGGCGGTGGGGTAGCCTAATGGTTAAAGCGTCCGCTCGTCACGCCGAAGACCCGGGTTTCATTTCCCACATGAGTACAATGTGTGAAGCCCATTTCTGGTGTCCCCCGCCGTGATATTGCAGGAATATTGCTAAAAGTGGTGTAAAACTTAACTCACTCACTCACAACCTTCAAAAAGCAATTCCTAACCCGTCACAACGATACCCCCAAATACGTGGAGAAATTCATAGTGTCAAAATTATATTTGAAACCGCTAATGTAACTCTCTCACACTGACTGCAGGAATGTGTGGTCCCTAAGCGCAGAGCTAAAGGGTTATTTTGGCACTGGCCCAAACTGTTGGCGTTGGTATAACGTTCTAATCTTTGCAAATAACGACACGGGTCAATATTTGAAGGTTCTCGTCGCGTACTTCTCTTTGGTGGTCTCCTGCAAGGGGACCTTCTGTTACGTTATCTTTATCAAGTATCGATATATTTCCCGAAGTAATAAACGTTGTGATTAACCTTCCAACTATTTGGCTTTCCCAAGACCACAGCTCTTACTGTTTCATGTAAGTAACGTAACATTTTCCACCGAAAGCAGTATTTCACATAGTAGCTGAATGTCATATATACTGAGGGAAACAAATAAGGGAACATTTCTTCATTGCAGTGTTCCTTTATTTATTCTCAGATTTCCTACCACAGCGCTTTTCAAAGCTGGCGAGGAAAACTTGAAAATATTAAAGGAACACTTGAATTTTTTGGTGTTCCTTCATTCTCTCAGTATAGACCAAAAGACGTTAAAATATGGTACTTGTTGGTCCCTGCCTGGCGCTCGGCATTAATGGCTACAACAAGGACTGGTCGGCTCGGAGTTAGTATAATGTGTCTGAGTGGGGTATTCCTGCTCACTGCGGCATGCTTTCTCAGTGGGCTAGCACTATAAAACCAGCTTAAGTCTAGGCTAGTACAAGCTGCCGCACATACACACGCATGCACGTCGTCATATGAGCGAAATATTCTCAAGCACGACGTCAAACCCAATTTCACCTCACCTCACCTTTCTCAGTATATCTAGCACACGTAAATCAGGAGACATGCCTATGGCACATGGGTGACATGCACGATAATGAAATCGTGGATAGCAACCAGAAAAAAGTCAAGCGATAGGAATGTTGCAATGTAAAAACCTTCTGATACAGTCTTTAATATATTCAATACCGTATTAAATGCAACATTCGTTACCGGCGTAATAACCCTAATCCTGTCAGTAAACACACATCCAACGTAGGGATGATTGATAGGGGTTTTGTGTAACAAGGACTCTCCTTAACTTGAAGATGAAATCAAATAGGGTGATAAAGACAAGCACGCGAGATCGACTTGACACCAACATGCTGGGACAAGTAGAAACCCATGATAGATACAAGTTGAAGGGTGATACTGGCGTTCACTTTACCTTAACCTATATATGAAGTCTATCTGTTAAGTGAGCAGGGTATACGGATGGAAGTCTTGGGATTGAAACTGTTCCTCGTCCAGGATACGCGTAATACACTCTAACTCAAGCAATACAACAAATTAGTGGTATTCAGTTTCTGATCAGTCATGTTGAGCATGGCAATTGACAATTACAATTCAATTAGTAAAAACAGCACACCTTGTTTTTAATGGGAGTTATCTCCCCTATTTTTGTGACCACAGTTACCAGTGAGGGTTACACTTAGACATTGACTTATATGCTGACCTCGGCTCTCTAGACGCTTGCGTTTTCTGAAGCATGTTTTGCCGGATATACGCTCCATAGAAAAGTTGTCAACACCAAGTTTACAGTCATTACCATTATATAGGGTAGTTCTATGTTTCTCCCACGATATCCACGACATGCAAAATAACAAATATTATAAATTGGAGAATCTGTTTAAAAGGCAATGTTTTGACATACCGAGTCAAATGCGAGGGTATTATGTGTCATAATACTGTGATATAAAAGCTATACAACTATGACCAGGTGCGTGATTACACATAGGGATTTCATTGAAATTAACAACCATAACATGAGTCTTACCATGCAAATAAATCTTCATGGCATTATTTCACTGAAAGGGAATTGATTGTGTGACGTCAAAGATGAGCAGACTAAACACACTGTCATAATGCAAGGTTAAGTTTGAAAGTCACAACAGTGTAGGGGTCGATGCTTTTGTCAACTAATGCCACGTTAACAAAAGGGTTTAGTCCTAGAAGCATAATTCAATGAACAATAATTCATTTCTCATCGTTTAATGTAACTTGTTCAGTGGGACAGGTATGAGTCAGAGTAGATTAATCTGAGTGGCATTCTGTCAAAATATCTCCAGCTACTGTATAGGGTTCACATTGTAACCCACTATCAGCGAGCCGATGTGCTGAAGAGCCCATTACTATAAGGACTGGTGTTCATTGCACACAGGCGTGACATAAATACATTTTCCCCTCCTCTGTCTATTTGGAAGAAAAGTAGGCTATTGCAGACCATCTAATTGACCCAAAAAGCTCCCACACTGAAATGATTTGATTTCTGCACAGATGTTACTGTAATTCGACTGTAATATGGTGAATGAGCTTAGTTTTACGCCGCCCTTTACGCAATATTCCAGCAATCACGACTGGAGACACTAGGAATGGGCTTTACACATTGTACCCATGTGGGGAATCGAACCCGGGTGCTAGGCGTGACGAGCATACGCTTTAACCACTAGGCTACCCCATCGCACCAACTCGACTGTAATGATATAATCCAATATTTATATTTTCTTCTGTTTCCAGAGTCAGCGCACTTCTAGGAGCCTTCTCCTACGCCAAGCTCACATCTTCCTTGGACGACGATTGGGTGGATCGCCTTAACCACTTGTACACCGTGGTCCTCCTCGCCGTCTTCGCCCTTTTCATCAGTGGTGGTCAATATGTGGGCAACCCAATTGAATGCTGGACACCAGCTCATTTTACGGGGGCATTTGTATCGTATACAAAGTCCTACTGCTGGGTGAAAAACACTTATTACATTCCAATGGATGACACCATCCCAATTGAGCACCACGAGAGGGATTCAGAAGAACTGACCTACTACCAGTGGGTGCCCATTATCCTGCTCTTCATGGCTTTCCTCTTCAAGTGCCCCGCCATTGTCTGGAGAATGTTCAACGGCTCATCTGGTCTTAACCTTGATAAAATCGTCGGCATGACCAACAACACCCAGGTCGGCGATCCCGGCAAGAGAGAAGAAACCATCAAGTTCATCGCCAAGTACATGGACAGGTGGCTCGAAGCCCACCGTCAATATTCATTCAACGTTTTGGTTCGCGTCCGTCAACGCCTGTCCAAAGTTGTGTGCTTCCTGTGTGCTAAGCGTGACGGCACCTTCCTGACTGGGCTGTACATCTTCGTGAAACTTCTTTATGTTGTCAACGTCATCTGCCAGTTCTTCATCCTCAACGGTTTCATGGGAGGATGGTACAACTTATACGGATTCGAGGTCATCAGTGGACTTGCAAATGACTTGACATGGAAGGAGTCTCCCCGCTTCCCTAAAGTAAGTAAATCTAATCTGTTCCCAGCTCAGTGAATTCTAAGCGATAGGTTTTATCAAGATTACTTGCCTTCTGGATTTAATCACCAAGCTGCAAATCGCAGAAAATAATCGTTTCAATAGTACAATCGGTATCGGGCTTATTTGAGTATTTCACAAATTAAGTAATGATGAATGCAAATACGATGTTTTTGAAACGAATAATCTCTTTATGTTGGCTTTGCTTGTGTGGCAGATTGTACTAATAGGATTTCTTACTTTTCTAGGTGACCCTGTGTGATTTCGACATTCGCCAACTCCAGAACATCCAGAGGTACACTGTCCAGTGCGTTCTACCTATCAACCTCTTCAACGAAAAGATCTTCATCTTCCTTTGGTTCTGGTTCGTCGTTGTTGCAATCCTCACTGTCGGTAACTTCCTGTTCTGGATCTGGCGTGCTCTCTTCCGCGTCAACCGAGGCCGATACGTCAAGAAATACCTCAAGCTTCTGGACGAGCTTCACGGAGAGGAAGACAAGAGATTTGCCCGCAAGTTTGCCGATCAGTATCTGCGTGATGATGGCATCTTTGTCCTGAGGATCGTTGCCAAGAACTCTAATGATATCCTTCTGTCCGATCTGATCAAGGAATTGTGGAAGACCTACAAGGACAAGCCAATGATCAAGAAATCGATGGATGAGTTTAACGAAACACACGCTTAAACTTCCACACCTAACATTTGACGTCAGTTGATGCAGACAATCTACTGTCCAGTGATACTTTCTGTTTCTGGAACTTGCTTGGCTTTTACCTGACTGTCGGCTCAAAGCCATTTGGGAATCAGTGGCATTTTATGTTGCTTGAGTCTGATGACTCTTGTCGTTCTGGCCATGTAATGGTGTAGGTTAGAAAAGACACGAATGGCACGTTTACAATGGACATTCCCGGAAGCATCAGAATGTGGTATATATTATTGAATATATGTACCTGAGAAATCGACATTCCATCAGTTTTATCATCATATTAGCTCCAATGGTGTATAACACGTGTTAGTCATGCTTCTTTTGTTCGATTTTCGAAAACCTATCATCAAGCCAGAGATATTTTAAAATGTATATATTCCGACCAAGAAAATGTGATTTTTATTTACTTTTAGATTGATTTAGTTTCAACTCTATTTTAGCATAGTTCATGTTTTTTAGATTAGAAATAAAACTAGAAGGCGTGGGTTAGGAACTCATATGCAATTTCAATGATCTCTGTAAGAAACGTCAGTACACACAAATAATCAAAATGTTTCTAGTCTGAAATTTTTCTCAATTTCATGCTTTAGATATTGCTTCCGATCAGTCATTGTTTCATTATTTGCATTGTTTGCTGACAACAACACGATCACAAAGTCTTCCTTTGGTTTTGTATATTTACATTATGAATACATTTGGTCAGAAGCTTTGTGCTAAGGGAGATTGCATGCGCTCTCTTTACGGAGCGTTTACCCTGTTTTTAACATGGCATTTCAAGAAGATAATAGGCCTTGATTGGTTGTACATATATAAATACTACCTGTAAGTACTTAAACCTACTAGACCGACAAATGTCTTCCATGCTCAACAACAACCGGCCAAATGATGTATTATATTTTTCATAATCTGGTATTCCAAGTGCCTTAATGTTTGACAACCTGTTTACGAATTCAACATCGAGATATATTTTATACGATTTTCGAAATTTGGAATCTGTACAAAGTATATTTTTGATGGGTAGCATCGCCTATGTATACTACTGTGGGATGTGTATATGCAGTTTTTTTGAAATATGTGTATGCTTAAGGGTGAATAACTGAATTTAATACAGGAAATACACGAGCTTTCTGTAACAAGTGTACAACTACAGCACAGCACCACACCACTGGGCTTTCCTTACTGCTGTTTGTACATTCGCAAAGTTTATTTATTTTTGATTATTTGCCAGTTTGTTTCAAGTTTACAAAAAACCTCCTCATTAACCGACAAACCATCATGTGTATTGCTAGTCCCTTCACAAGTTGCCGCACCATATCATGTTTAACCTGGCTGTCAATAAAGTTTAGATTCAATTTTATCATTGCATTATATCATTTCAACCTCGAAATCAGAAATTTGATAATTTTCAGTTTCATCCTGCTTTAAAATCATATTTTCAAATCACATTTTTATTGGTTCCCACTTTGTTTGTAAATTTAACAAAAAGGACGCCGTCCTTATGCTAAGGGTGGTATAACCGTGGACGATATGTTTATTTACCTTGTGCTAATGATGTATAAACCTTGAGATCTCCCCTGTCCCAGATACATTAACCTAGAAGTTGCAAGGTGTATATGTTAACAGTTATCATGTCAACATACATGTGAACGTATGTATCAGTATGCATGTGGAGATTGTGTTCTTTGAAATAAATATTTTATATGAAAATTGTGTCGAGATTCAATCATGGAATATTTAGATCACAGATCAGTTATCAGGATGTTTGATGGGCATTCTAGAGGTTGGTGAGTGAAGCAAACAATTTTATGGATAGCAACTTGTTATTGCATAGAGCGACATCGGTGTAGATAACGGTGTTATCAAGCGAACAACAAGTTGTCATCCTTAAAATTGTATGCTTCATCTCTTATCGGGTGTTTTGCAGCTATCAAATGGCTGCCAGTTTCTATGTTCTCCAATCATGCCACACGTCCCTCATGTGTACATGTGATCTTTTTTAAGTGACACGTGTACATTTGTAGTGTGTGTCATAACGATCTTTTTTGTGTCACACGCAGTGTTCGAAATAGCCACTGTCCCGCTAGCCCGTGGCTAGTAAAAATCCAATGGGGCCAGTAAATTTCCACATTCACTGGCCCGAATGGCTGGTGAATTTTCAAGGGGTCATATTGTAAATACATGTACTTGTTAAGTTATAATACACTTTTACATCATGCACGATTACGGCCTGATAAAAATGTTCATCTTATTAGCAGCTTAATGATGAAACCCGTATCTACATTCAAATTTCGGGCCAGTGAATAATTTTGTGGGCATTGCTAGCTTGTTTGGCTAGCAAAATTTGGAAACTATTTCGCACACTGGCCACAAGTGCACATTTGTAGTGGGTCACTACGATCTGTTTATGTAACACGTGCACATTTGTAGTGTGTGTCATTAAGATTGTTTCTTGTGTGATACGTGCACATTTGTAGTGTGTGTCATTAAGATCTTTTTGTGTGACGCGTGCACGTTTGTACTGTGTGTCATTACGATCTTTTATGTGACACGTGCACATTTGTAGTGTGTGTAATTACGATCTTTTTTTGTATGACACGTGCAAATGTGTACTGTTGGATCTGACGATCGTTTTTGTGTGACCCGTGCGCATTTGTAGTGTGTGTCATTGCGATCATTTTGTTTGACACGTGCACATTTGTCCGGTGTGTCATTGCAATCATTATTTGTGACGTGCCCCATCATACTGTGTGTATTCATTTTGTGTGACACGGCCCGTTGGTATTGTGTCATATAACGATCATTTTGAGTGACGCGGCCCACCCGTACTGTTTGTCATATAACGATGCTTTTATCTGACAGGTCCCATTTGTAGTGTGTGTCATTACGATCTAGTTGAGTTACAGGAGATATAGCTATGACAAAGTGAGTAAGTTGGGTTTATCACCGGATTTTATCAGTGAAGCAGTATCGGCACGGCTTGTCAGCATTACGTGGGAGGGAATCCCGAAGGAATGCAGGTTTATCTCCACGGTGAAACACACAAGCCCATGTATGGTGCTGACATTCCTTGAAACACTAAAGGGGCGAACCGGGATTCGACCAATCATCGGTTTCTAGTCTACCAAGCATCGCGGCGCTATAGACCACTGGGCCACCAAATGAAAATGAAGGATGAGATGAAATACTACCAAAGAGATATGTAAAACGCCAACACCACAGAATGATCTCTCATATCTGACGAAATATATTCCTTTGAGCGTATAAAGGCAAAGTAGACGTGAATCACTCATAGGGGCGGTGGGGTAGCGTAGTGGTTCGATTCCCCACACGGGTACAGTGTGTGAAGCCCATTTCTGCCCTGCCCCCCCCGCCGTGATATTGCTTGAATATTGCTAAAAGCAATAAACCCATACTCACTCATTCAAAAACAAAGCTACATGACTATAATCACACCTTATCGACATGTCGGAATCATCTTTAAGAGCTGTCCTTGTTATTTTACGCATTTAAGGAAAGTTTTGAAAGAGAAAATGGACATCCTGTTTATATATATTAGAACGCGGATATACTCGATGAACTGTATCTGGACATGTTACTTCACATACAGCCTAAATGCATGCACTTGATCAACTCAGTCTACAAGCGCTATATCCTCAGATAGTCAGTCCTCTAGTTGTCACAAGCTGGTTGTTTTTTGTTTTTTGTTTAATGCCTGACTGACTCAGCAATAGTCCAGCTATATAACGGTCTGTAAATAATCGAGCCTGAGCCACACAATCCAGTGATTGACATCATGAGCATCGATTTACGCAATTTGGATACGATGACATGTGTTAACCAAGACAGTGAGCTTAACCACCCGATCCTGTTAGGTACCTTTTAAGATAGGCAGGGGTTGCTGAAGGCCAATTTTTACAAGCAGTATATCAAATAGCAACGATCTCTTTATAAAGTACAACTAGCTCTATATATTGACACACTTTGAGACAAGCGGTGATTTCCATCTGTATCAAAACGCTACCCCCCACTACAGTATCGTGTAGGCCTTTGCCTAATGGTTCAAACGTCCGCTCGATTCCCCACATGGTTACAATGTGTGAAGCCCATTTCTGGTGTCCCCTGCCGTGATATTGCTGGAATATTGCTAAAAGTGGCGTAGAACTGAACTCACTTACTAACTATTCTTTCACTGATTCCCATTTGTCTGATGAGTTGCTATGGGGGTTGATGGGATAGCTACGTCCCCTAGGCATGTCAGGATCCGATAACCCTTGGTTGGAGTCCAGATTCTACTTGATTCTCCTCCTTGCTTTGTCAACTACAGTATGTGTCCGTGCTAAATGGTAGAACCAAACTGACGACCGCCATACCGGTCTCACAGTTTCTGAAATGCATTGATGTCTTTTCCGCCCTAGTCCTTCCAGCTGTGCTAAAGCCCTACATGAGGCAAGATTTCTTCAGGATGGGGAATCTCCCATCTCACTGGGGCTCCTTTTCAAACTAAATGGAAATACTATTTTTTCTATCAGCATTATATATACTCAGAGACTAAGCGTTAATCTAGTCATAAACCTGGCCTTCACCTAAATGAGGCTCTCATCCCTTGATACAGCTTAAGAAGTACGAATGAGAGAGTGAGTTTAGTTTTACGCCGCTTTTAGCAATATTCCAGCGATAACACAGCAATGGACACCAGAAATGGGCTTCATACATGTACTCATGTGGGGAATCGAACCCGAGTCCTCGGCGTGACGAGCGAACCCTTTTAACCACTCGGCTCCCAGAAAGCCGACATTAGAGCGGACTAGTGCAAACTTAAACACCGAGCAAGCACGCACGGACACACCCACACCGCTATATGATATAATAACCCTGAACACGACGTTAAACTCTGTCTTCGACGTGACGAGCGGACGCCTTAACCACCAGACTACCCCACTGCCCCAACTGTAGTAGACAGCGGTGTTATACCTTACATACTCACTCACGCAATATCAAAACACAGAACATTAAGTTCAGTAACACAATTAGGATAACAAGAACACGTTTATTTAGTCTCGAACTAAAGTGTTATACATCTGTTAATACATGACATGAAATTATCAACAGTGCTCAACAGCGAACAAGACCTTATTATGGTGTCCTCGTGTTAGCTGAAGGCCAAACAACATACACGAGCGAAGTGACATTTAACCCCATAACATCACGCATCTGTGATTTTTTAACTTGTACTAAAAAAGAAAAATGTCATGACAACACATAGGCCACTGAAGCAAATTCGCTGAGTGGAAAATCGCCTATGACTTTTTGCAGTGACTTCATTTTGTTTGTAGCGTCATGAGCAAGCACCCTGTGCCTGGAGTTTGGCGCAGTATAAGTGCACATATTATCATGAATAAGATCTTCGAAAAGGGGGTTCCAGTATGGAATCCTGGAAGGGACATTGTCGCGTTGTCGCATTGTCGCCCTCTCAAATACAAGCAAACTTAACCAAAACGCGACACGCGACATCGCGACAACGCGACATTTCGCCCATTTGTCGCATTGTCGCGATGTCGCGTGTCGCGTTTTGGTTTATTTTGCCTCACTTTACTTCTTTTTGAGAGGGCGACAATGCGACATAGCGACAATGTCCCTTCCAGGATTCCATATTCCAGCCAGTTCCTCCAAACCTCTCATCAGGGGCCACTCGCGTTTCATTAGACTAAGGCTTAGTCTCTGAATATATATAAGTTTGATAGTAACAAACAAGCCCATTTATAGTGTTAAGGAGCCCTAGGGAGACCAGAGAACCTGAGGAAATCTAGACTTGCTTTATTTAGGGCTTTAGCACTGCAGAGAGGGCTTGGCAGTAGGGAAATTAATGTGGTTCAGGGACTGTGAGACAGACTACGCGCGCCTGTCATGAGTGTGTTAAGTCTGTTATCATTGTAACCCAGATATCGTACATCGTGTATTGCGTGCTTCAATAACATTGCATTGTCTTTGTGCCTTGATAGTGATTCATAAACACATGCTTGTGATACGTGTCGGAAAAATACAAGGAGATTCTGCGTTTTAGCGAAGATGTATTGTAATTGTGGAAAGCATTTTGTAGCATATATTTTCGCGAGTAATTCATAAAGTTCAGCGCTGATGACTTCAGACAAGAATTATATAGTATAGTATATTATATATATAGTACAAGTTCTTGATAAAGCCTTTGAAAGACACATAGAAGATGGAATAGAAGGGACACAGCCCTTTCCATACCTCGAAGATTGTTCAGTTGTGACAGTATCTTGAGTATATATTTGTTTCAGTAGTATTACAGCTGTACGATGTTGTTTGTAAACAAATCGAGTGTTCAACATGCAACACCAAACCCATACAATGTATGGGAACAGCGCTCAACGCATTCGATTGTTTTTATCTTACGATTCTTCCGCGAAGTAAAGTGCATTTTGGCGATCAGACACCAACGTTTGGATAGATTACACTTGCATTTATCCATTACAAAGTGACATGTATTCAAGTATACATGAATGTGAAATCCCAGTGGTCTAACCCGTAATGAAATTGGTGATTTAAGGCCCCCAAAGGCTAGTGAACGCTTTCTTCCATCTGCGCATGGCAGAATGTAGTTGCAATCACAAGGCTTTAATGGGCATAGTATATTCTATGATCTGTGCAAAACGTAACTCAAGATGAAAATGGAAATGCTTTAC